GTAAACAGGAAGCATCCATTCAGTTCAAACCAGAAGATTAAGGGAGGTTTCAAGGAAAACATGATTTGTGCTGAATGCCGAATGATTAGCAGCACTTTCCAACATTGTATGGGGTTGAGAATACCACAGGGAAGTAAGGACATGATCGATGTTGTATAACTGAGTGCTGCTTTATGTTAGCAGGTGTCATGTATGAAATCAGATTGTAACAAGAGCTAAAGCCAGAATGACACTTACAACACTTGGAGAGCCTTAAATGTCATTAGACATTTGGACTAAACTTCGACTACACTGAAAAGCTATTCAGTCCTTATCCTCATGAAATATTTCTTAGAGCAGTTGGGAGAATAAAACTAAAAATGAAATATGACTTCAGTTAGATTACTGGGTGTGGTTAAAAAACAAGAAAGAGAAAAGGTATTTGTATATGTCAGCGATTAGCTACATGCAAGAAAGGAAGATTTGAATGTGACTTGTTTTCTATCTAGATGTTTCTGCGATTCAGTTGCTCAGGGTTAGTGTCTGTGTAAGAAAGAATTCAGACATAAGACAGAGAGTAGTGGTAGCCTGCTAGGGAAGTTTAATGAAGAGAAATGTTGAAAAGAGTAAACCTGACAGAGCAGGCTGGCATTGCAGTAAAGCACTGAGAGCCCAGTTTACATTCAGGCTGGAGTTATATAGTTATTGTGTGGGGGTCTTTTTTCTCTTCTGCCACATCCTTTCTGGAGTATTGCAGAAATAAGGCTTATCTAGGCTTTCTGCTCAGAACTTCATGACAATCTCCCTGGTGACAGGCAGATGAGATTCCCCTAAGCTGCACCAAGGGGAAAGGCTGGGCTCCACCCCACTAAACCTTGAATGGTGGCAAGACAGTTGATAGGTACATGCTGTTATGCTCCCCTGTTGCATCACAAAGAAACTCATTTGTCTTTGCCTCTGCCTCATAGGTTCATGTCTGCCTTGCAGGCAAGGTGAATGATCAAGGCATTAGTTGAGACTGGCACACAAAACAACAATTTTGGGAAGGATCATGCTGAGTTTGACTTGGGACATGTGTTACTGGCTTCCTTTGAGTGGCTGCCTTCTATCTGCCATCTAGTCCTTCAGTTTCAGTGCAAATGTAACCTCCTCCAGGAAAATTACCCTAAGCCTTTTGCATCAGCCAAGGAAGCTGTCCATATGTACTCTCAGGTGCTCACCTGTCAAAAACCATATTAATCCATACTCACAACTTCATTTATTTGTTCACCTCCCTTACTATATTATAGTCCACTAGGAAGTGAAAATTCTACCATATCCACTAACATGTAACCCACTTCTCACCGATTTTGACAAGAATAATATACTCTATTTTCACGAATTAATATAATATTTTAATAATTACAAAGTAGAATTATTCTTCATTTAATATACTCTTGAATTGCATAGTACAAATAAATGGATCTGGTCATCTTACAGTGCAGGGCATTTTAAATTGTGATCAGAAAAAGGAAACTGCTTTCCTGTGATCAATGCAGGCTTTGCAGTCTTTCTCCTTTGTGAAGGTAGTCTCAGCAAAGTGGTTGTGTTGTTATAGTCTGGAATGAAGTTTGACATTAAAGTCATGAACACAGTGATATTAGAAAAGCAATTTAAGCAGAGGAGAGAACCCCAGTCATAGGCCAGGTTGTCAGGGATACACAAACTCACTGCAGTCCGCAGAGGTTTGACACCTGCACCTCCAGGCTTTGTTTATTAGTTGTAGGGTTGAAAGGAAATATCCTTTCTGTGCAAATAAAACTGTCACAAGTAAGGCAGTCATAAAGTCTCTAATTTAAAAATATTAATATCATTAAAACTGCTAAGGTAAGTAATACATGCTTCGAAAATAGCCTAATAAACCCTTGAATCATGAAAGTATACTAATATATTATAATAATATTAATTTATTCAAATGCATAATTGAAGACAGATGTCCCTAGGGGTTAAGACAGTGATGCATGATATTCCTCAGTCTGTTCCTAGGGATAAATGATATCATATTGTTTTCAAGCCTTAAGTATCAAGCAGCACAATAAACCAATAGGTTGCCACAGCAGCATGTTCACATAAATTTTCATTTGTCTCTGTTTTGCAGCAGTTGTTACCCATTCCTGTTTTTACTTTATTTTTGTTATCTACTCTGCACATCAGTTGAAAGCCTAGATGCAGTTGATAATGCACATATAATTGATACTGAGCTTGGCACATCTTGAAGTCATGACGCCATGATCATTTCAGTCATGCATGCTTCTAGATATTTTCTTTAAAAATAATTTCCTGTATGCTCAATATTTAATATTTTACTGCCATATGAAAGGAAATGCATCTGATCTAAGAAGCAGACCGTGTCATTGACCAATGTTATTGCCTAGCATAATGCACTGCCTACTGCTTTTGGTATATAGTATATCAATATTATATGATATACTTTTTAAAAACATTCTTGCATCAACACTTTGGCTTTGGTCTTATTTTTTCCATTTCACAAATGAAAAAATGTAAGAATTATAAAATGTTGATGCTTAGCTCATTGTTTCTAATATGCAAATTTCACAATGTTCCCTCACAACATACCTAGCACTATGCCGTGTTCTTGGAATGCAATAAATGACAAAAATCAGAAATATTGCCATAATGGAGTTAATCTCCCTTGAGAAATACAAGCCTGACTCAAATTACAAACACAAAGTGCTTGGGTTGGATACTCAGCAAACTTGGATTGAGTTACTGGCTCCCAGTTTCTGCATAGTTCCCAGCCAACGCAGGATGACCCCTGCTGCATCTGAGCAGTGAACCAGTGAATTGGAGTTCTCTATTTCTCTGACTTTCAAATATTTTATACAATTAGATAAGTAAAATGTCACATTTTTGCATTACACAATTTATCTTTCTTTGCCAATCATTTCTTTCTTTCCTTCCTTCTTTCTGTCTTCTCTCTCTCTCTTTTCTTCTCTTCCTTCCTTCCTGCCTCCCTCCCTCTCACCGTCCCTCCCTCTTTTCTTTCCTTTCTTCCTTTTTTCCTTCCTTCCTTCCTTTCTTCTTTCCTTCCTTTCTCCCTTCTTACTCGAGAAGTAGAGACAGACAGATTTCTGACCTTCTGATTCATTTTCCAAATGGCTGCAAGAGCAGCTGAACCAGAACTGAAGTTGAGTTCCAGGGATTCAATCCAGGTTTCCCTTATGGGTGGCAGGGAGGACCAAACTGCTTGGTCTATACCTGTTGATTCTAAGAATATACATTATCAGGAAGGTGGAGTCATGAAATGATACAAGACTCAAACTCAGGCACTCTATTATGGACTGCTGATGTTCTAATTAGCATCTGTATTTGCAAATCAAATAAAATCTTGTCATTCGCGGTTACATTAACATAATATTTCCATATCTAAGTGTTTAGAGACTGGCAGTAAAGGTATATGTGTGTATGTTGTTGAGAGAGGGAGAAAGCTCATTTTTTGCTTCTGATCTCAAGCTGTGAGAAACCCAAGAGACTGAACAGACTAAAAATGCTTCTGTAAGAGGCTTCACTAAAAAGAATAATGAAAAAGCATGCAGTAGCTACCTGAACTTAACTGTTTTTGCTTGGTTTTCACCCCATTAGATCCATCCTTCTCTTGAAGTGCACACCACAAATCACTTGGATATCTTTTAACTCACATATACTTTATCTAAATTTGGGTGCAAGCTATCTAACATAATGCAAAGAATTCCAATTTAAACTCTCAAGGGATGTCACTTTTCGGTGTCTTCATGAATAAAATGTCTTGTACTAAATGAACACATTTAAGAGGAAAAACTAACATGTCATTGCTTCTAAGAACTTGCATAATTCATATTGTGATCAGTGCCTCTCTTTCATGATAAATTTCATCTTTTTTGAAGCAAAGTATCTCATTGGCACCTTCATTGCAGCTTGAGTTAGGATGGGTCAATTGAAGGGGACTTACCAGTGTCTGTATTGGAGGAGCAACACCTGTATTCCATTGATGTATATGCTGTTCTTTATATGCATAGCATACCACTGTTAAGTCCTATGGAGGACACAGATATTAGTAAAAGTATATACATAGCATCTTGCCATATAAAGACTTTAAAATTATGTAATTCATTTGGTTTTAAAAGACTTTTGTGTTAATGGAAATTTCTGAAAAGAACACAAGAGGGAGAAACAGAAGAGTTGTCTGTGAGAGTGTAAGAATGGGAAGAAAAGTGTAGGTAGGGTCTATATAAGGAGAGAAGGAATTGACCAGGTAAGACAGAATAGGCGCAGGTGCTAGAGTACAGACTCAGGAAAAGGATGAAGAAGGAAGAGTTAGTACATGTACCGAGATCAGCGAAGCCCTGTCATCCTGAGACTGAAGGCCTCTTGAAAGGCATTTAAAAAAAAAAGACATCAGGAATTTCAGATGGAATCTGGTAAACTGAAGCTTGTGTCTTGTACCAAAATTCAATTAAGCTAGAGAACTTTCCCAAGTACATTCCTAAAATATAGCAGATATGACTTAACATTACACGTTATCTCGATAGTGTTGTGGTGTCCTTTTCCAGCTTGAGTGGAAGTCATTGGTCCAGGCTAGAGACAGAAACAATGCAGTGGTGCACCTTCTGGAGGCAGACATCCTGTCATTGTGGTAGGATTCGTTTTTGTGTGCATTGTCCAGTAATATGAATTGAAATAGCCAAGACATACTCCAACCAGGTTACCAGTAAAAAAATAAAAATGTAATGCATAACTAGGACATACAAGTTCAGTTTGTGATATAGTACAAACAATAGCGTAAGAACTGTCTACAGGCATCATACAGCCTTTCCTCACCTAAACCTACTAAATAAGGAATATGTTATTGCATATTTATCATGTTATATGCTAACATCAGAGTGCTCAAATTGTCTACTGATTGCCATGCCAACCTCACCTAAGATGTAAGTAAAGCTGATATTCACAATACATATTGACCTAGATTTTATTTTGTTTCCCAGACTCTTCAATGGCCAACAAGGAATTATTATTCAGAATTTTAGCACAAGATCCATTCTCACTGTTACCAATGTGACACAGGAGCACTTCGGCAACTATACTTGTGTGGCCGCCAACAAGCTGGGCACTACTAACGCGAGCCTGCCTCTCAATCGTAAGTAATGCTGTTGGTAAAATGCCCCCAGCAGCCTCTTGGATCCATACATCAGTAGAGATACCAACCTAGAAATGGAGTATGTTCATTCTAGAACTCAGCCTGATGTGATTCATCTTACAAAGAGGAGCCTTTGCCCCAAATAATATGTCTGCTTGAGAATTTTACAACCCTTTTAGAAGCTTACATGTGCAAAGAAAAATGTCTAAGAACAGTAAAAAAGAAAAGGGGGACAAACACATAATAGGACCAGTTGAAAGACATTTGTAAAGACTCAAGTTCTGTAAAGCTTTTGTTTGGATTTGACTGCTTTTAAAAATGTGTTATCTTTGAAGCACAGATAAATGTGATTTCAATTACTCTTGGTTGATTTTCTTTAGAGTTCCATCTTGGAATCATCACACTTTTACAGGCCATAAATGAAATAAATAATAAGGGAATGATCTTGGAACATTTATATCATCTGTCTGGATAGCATTTTTTACTCAAAATAATATTTTGAAATAAAATTTTAGGTTTTACAAAAATAAATACCATGGTTTTAATAGATCTAAAGCTGAGGAAAGAAAAAAGAGCAAAGACTAAGATCAATTAAAGGAAAAGAAGCTTTTGCTGACATTTCCTATTTGATTTGATCTTAACTGATTTTTAGACTTGCAGTATTATAAACATAAAATAGCACCAATTTTGAAATCAAGTATTTTCAAAATGCTCAGAGAAAGGTACAGTATCTTTTCACTTCTACATATTTATCTAAGTGATCTTTATTCTTCATATAGGTAATGTTTTTGTAAAGTCCAACACAAATATAGAGATGTGGGTATGTGTGTAAGTATGTAGATACCCATATATTCATATACACATACATTCACACAGATGGCTATCATTATCTAGTTAACTGTCTGATATGAAAGTTTTCTGTGGTTCATCACACAGAAGAATATTTCTGTTTTTAGATATGGAGAAGGGAATGTGTGATACTACAAGTACTTACCAATCTGCTACAAATGTGAATAATGCTTTATATGCTTTGAATTAACATAATTTAAGGAACTCTGAGGATAGATAAAATGTATCTGTTCCAATAACATACTTATTTTTCAAAATAATAATCTCAGTATTTCCTGGTATTCAACTCTGACAGAAAAATATTGCTTGAAATGCAATACCACAGTATAGTATGCTTACTCAAGTTTCTTTAATGAAGATAATTTATGTACTAGAATTATGAATAATGCAAATCACTGAAAATATTTAAAGAGCTGTGTGAACTCAAATGTAAATATTAGTGCTTCTTTGGTACATTATTAATATCTTAAGTGATTTAAATATTCAAGAACCTGAAAGAATGTATTACTTGAAAAGGTAAAGAAAAAATATATACAAATATATTAACTTTTTATATTTAAATTTTTTAACTTCTCTTCTGATTTTCAAGACTGCAGTATTAATTATTGTGACAAATTAAGGGTAAATGTTGCTTTTCTTTTACTCTAGCAAACTTAACATAATCCTTTGGAAATAATGCTTTGTTAAATATGGAATTTTCAGAATTGACTTTTATGATTTCTCTTTGTTGTTGACTATTTGTTGAGGTGCTGCTAGATGCTACTATAATGTGATTAAATCATTGACAAAGGCAAACTGTTCAAATAGCATCTGTAATCATGAACATTTTTATGAAAGTTTTAAAAAAAATCAACATGTTAAGAACACTTTTATCACCTCAACTGAAACTCTTATTGCAGTAAGAATTTTTCTTTTGCTCTATAATTATATTAATATGTTAAAATCTTTCCATCAAATTGCAAATTCCTTTAGAAAACAGGATCAGTATAAGAGTAATTATTTTATTTCCTTTATTATCAATTATAGTGCCTGATTTTAATAGGCACTTAGCAAAAATCTTTAGTAATCAATAAATTAAATGTTGAGTAACTACGAAGGAATAAATGAACAGATGAACTATTTTTAGCTGTTTTAACTCTTTAGCTTCCAAACTTTAGAGATGCAAGGAAATATTATTGTAATATATTTGAGTATGTGAAAGGTAAATGCTGTTGATGTTTTTACCAAACATATTACCCAGAAAAGTGGGACTTGACAGTTAAATATACATTCTAGCAGATTTTGAAATATCTTTAGAATATTGCAATCATGAACCATGGAAACGGGATCTGTAAGCTATATAGGACTTACTGAACTTTTCAAGATGCTCGGTACAGAAGCACCCAAATGTTCATTGATAACATCTTCTGTCACACGCTTTAATAAGATCTCTGAATGGAAAGATGCTTATCCTCTAAAATGATCCATAGTAGAAGTCATTACCAGGGCAGTCTAATGTTGACCTGCGACAATCTCAGTATTTTTTTTTTTTTTGTAATTTTCTGGTGGAGATGAGTCCTCCTGAGAGGTAAGAAAGCATGTAAAGCTGTCTTTATTCAGATGATAGTTTGCAGATCCAAATGAGCCTACCGTTTGTGTATGCAATACTATGTGGCATATGGTTTGCATAAGAAACTCTTTGTGCTTTTGTGATTTACACCCTTGATGGTAACCTCAATAGCAGAGAGACTGGAAATGAGACTTGCCTGGTATAATACTGCCCAATAGCAAATTCTCATATTAGTTGATAACAACATTCCAAAAGAGTATGAGTGACTAAGAACTGGCTCTTCATTTACACTATTTAGGGCAAGTCCAGAGATTACCGTTTGTCAATTTTTAAAAATAATCTCATGTTTTCCAGATCACCAAAAATTAAAAAAGCAGGATATAGTTATAAATTTTGTGGCAACTAGGGTGAAACAGAAACAGAACACTTCTATTTGTGAATGTCTGTGTGAATGCAGAATGCATGTGGATTTTTGCGTAATGGAGTCAAACCAGTTCAGGATCTGTATTCCGTTTCACCACATATCAATTTGTGTGAAATTGGACAACTTCTATAAATTCCGACTCCTTCATTAATTCACTAACATAATGAGGATAATAAATAATTCATTTATAAAATGGGTTCCCACCTCCCAGGACAGGAATTAAAAGGGATGATGCATGCAATCACTCAAATTATCATTTAACTTAGAACAAAGTAGTAATTCAAGAAATGAAAGCCATTATTATTGTGTCATTAGATTTTCCTTAGAGCAGACAATTAGATTCATTTGAAAAAATTATATATGTATAGATAATTTGTTTTATTTGATCAAGTCCTACCCAGGACCTCACTGAAAGCTAACATGGTAACAGTCCCTAGTAAGTCAAGGAAAGAATATGCAAATATAAAATAATACCTCCAATTTAATCTAGCTTTAATTTAGTTCATAATTTTGCTTCATTCCTTTCTCAGTGCATTAACCAGACTTGGCACAAATTCCAGGTTAAGTGTGATTTTTGGTAATTCAGACATTTAGGGTCTTCAAGGTATAAAAGCAGAACCAGTAAAACAATTTGCTTTGAGGCTCAGACAATTCATTCAACAGCAACATTATTTGTAAGTCTTTCTCTCTCTCTCTGTATCTATCCATCTATCCATTTATCTATATATAGATATCTATCCATCTACATATCTATATAGGGCTACATATCTACATATCTATATATATGTAAATGGATAGAGACTATATATATGTATACATATAAATGTATATGTTTTGTGCATTAAATGTACATTGATTTATATATACCTATATACTATTATATATTTGTGTGTTAGATGCGTGTTAGATTTATATCTATATCTATATCACACACACACATATATAGCTACATAAAGTTAATAGGCTTTGTATACCACAGTGTTCTACATGTTGGAAAGAAAAGGAGTTATAGGACTTACACCATGTTTTCAAGAAATTCTCAAATGAATGAGACAGTATCGGCCCTAGCTATGTTATTTTCAGAAACAGAATTTTTAGTTCACTCAACAACAATCCAGAGCACTAGGTATAGTGATACATATGAAACAGTGGTCAGTAACTCACAGTAGGTGATAGAAGAGCTGTCCTTTGACCTAAGGACTTGATTGAACTGAGCTTGGCAAGAAGAGAGAGTAATACACCAGTATGGGTTTCTCTTCTCACAGATAGGCCAATGACTGTATGTAGAGCAACAACTCCTGACCTGCAAATCCACATCACACTAGCTTTGATGCACTGTAATAGAGATCCCTAAAAGGTTCATGATAAATATACATTATAAAAATATTATGCTTGGATTTTGCAATCTTTTTTCCCAAAAATTTCCCATCATTTAATTCCATTATCCAGGACCTTTTTTGGTAGGCCCCTACTTGTAATCTTCTTGCTTTTCTGCAAGCCTCTTTCATTCACAACATGTTTGGTTCATGTTTCTCAAGCTGCAAAGAATTAGCAAGGCCTCTGATGTTATACAGCAGGATATCTTTGTCCTTCCTGGCCTGCCAGATTTAGGATATAACTCTAAGAGTAATTATACTTTTAAGTAGATATTTTACTACTTTCACCGAAAGAAATGCTTTAGACAAATGCATGGGGGAAAGATCCTAGGAGAGCTTATACCACAAAGATTTCTATTACTCCAGATAATCATCCCAGAAACTTCTAAAATAATCTACATTTTAAAAAAGTAAAAAGTTTGATGTGAAGAGAAAAAATAATGCACAATGAATTGCACCAGTCACTGTGCTTCAGCCCTGCAGGAGTATGTGTTCTAATAAAACCGGTAGTGTATGAAGTGTGTCACCTAATAATAGCAAAATGCCTTATTAAGTAAAATGTTGGGATTAAGAATCAGTTGCTATTTTTCACCTGTGTGTTTTGCTTCTTGAACATAAGCAGCTGAATAGATGAATCTTGGATGTCTATTCCTTAAAGAATCAGAATTAAATGGTCCCATCCTGCCATCTATGGGTCCGTTTCATCAAATGTATATGATTCTGCAAGCTGGGATTCAGTTACAAGTAAAACAATAGTCATTCTATATAATTGTTGCACATTTTTTTATTCTAGATTTGTCAA